TTTGAATTATCCAATAATTTGAATCCGTAAAGACGTTGGAGAAGTCGAGTCATCCATATAATATTTTCAACGGTCTGTGCTACACTACCTTATGAGTGCTACACTATAAATGAGTGTATTTTTTAAATTCAACATAGTGTAAGGTAAATATTTTTCTATAGATAGGGGCCAACAATCATTAAAAAAATGACATTACCAATACAGAGGTGAACTGTGAGATGGTTTATTACGACCAAACAATGACATGCAGCTTTCACAAAAAAAGTGGTGAAGTGGAAGGACGATTATTTACGATTAAGTACAAGATTAAGTACAAGAGTGTAACCATTTATAAATTATATCTCTGGACTCAGAAAGGCTCGTTATGGACCATTTTGGACTGTAATCATGATTGCCTTTCTAGAACTCGGGTTCTCATGTGACTGGGATAACGTCACTTAGTAGAAGTACAAGTAAGTAATCATGAGTGCACTTTTAGACCTCGGGCAAGTAAAATGTAAGTAAACATGAGTGTATTTCTAGACCTCGGATTCTCAAATGACTGAGATGACCTTACATAATAAAAGTATACAAGTAAGTAATCATGAGTGCATTTCTAGACTCTTAGGCTCTCATATTACTTAGTAAAAGGGTACTTAGTATAAGTACATGTACAATATAAGTATGATCGTATTTTTTTACCTCAGGAGTTCAGCAGCACGACTAAGATAACATTACATTACTAAGATAACAGTACAAGTAAATAATCATTAAGTAATCATCAGTAAGTAACCATTGATGCCTTTCTATACCAGACCTGTCATATGAGAGATCATTATTTAAGTACAACTACAAGTATGTAATCATGGATGCATTGCTAAGCTGTCATATGACTAATATGACATGACTCAGTATAAGTACTAGTCAAATGTAAGTAATAGTGAGTGCATTTCTAGACATCGGGCGCTAATATGTCTAAGATGAAAGTGCATATAAAATGTATTAATTATGAGCGCCTTTCTAGACTTTTGGGCTCTCATATGACAGATGACATTATTTAGTACAAGTACAAGTAAGTAATAATGAGTGCATTTCTAGACCGTGGACTCTTTTGTGACTAAGATTATATTTTTTTAGTTTTTTTTTAGTATATGTACGTATATATACGTAGAAGTACAATGTATGTAATCATGGGAGCTAATATGACTGAGATGACATTACTTTGTATTAGTAAAGGTAAGTTATCATGAGTTCATTTCTAGCCCTTAGGTACTTATATGACTAATATGACATGACTTGGTACAAGTAAAAGAATAATGAAAGCATTAATTAGTGTATTTATAGACCTCGGGCGCTCATATGACTGAGATGACATTACATATTAAAAGTACAAGAAATCAATCGTGAGTGCCTTTCTAGACCTTGGGCTCTCTTGTATTTAGAGGGCATAACATATAACAAGTAGAAGTAAATGATCTTGAGTTTTTTAGACCTTATAGACTCTCATAAGACTGAGGTGACGCCACTTAGTATATATGAAAAGTTAGTATTTATGAGTGAGTTTATAGACCTTGAGCTCTCATAAGACTGAGATGATATTCCATAATATGAGTGTATTTCTAGACATTTTGGCTGCATATGACTGAGGTGACATCACTTAGAATAAGTACAAGTAAAATGTAAGTAGCCATGAGTGTATTTCTAGATCTCGAGGGCTCATATGACTGAGATGATATTACATCATAAAAGTACAAGTAAGTGAATCATGAGTGCATTTCTTATATGACTGAGATGACATGACTTAGTGTGAGTAAAACTAAGTCATCTAAATCATGAGAACATTTCTAGACCTTGGGCACTTATATGACGGAGATGACATTGCATACATTAGTACAAGTACAATGTAAGTAATCATGTTTATACTTAGGGCTCTAATTTGACTGAGTGGTCATTACTTATTACAACTACAAGTATGTAATCATGAGGTTTACTTCTAGACCTTTGGCTCTCATATGACTGAGATGGCTTTACTTAGTTTTAGTACAACTAGGTAGTTATGAGGTGGCTGTGCTTTTAGACATAGCGATAGGAATATCTTACTTTACCTCCTTACTTCAGCCAAACCCCATAATAAATTAGAATCATTTAAAATCTCTGGTATAGAATTGAAAAGAAAACAAATTGATGGGAGGGGGGATTTCTGGAGGGTGTGATCTCGCCCCTATCTTGTATTTTTTGACACCAGACTTTCTGGTCAACTTGCAACAGGGGTTGTAAGGCCTGCCCCCTGTAACTCCTAAATTATTTACCGCATGATCACAAATTTTCAAGGGATTGTTTACTTAGTTAAATCAAACAACAATTTTATGTCATTATATCATAATCACTGATGTTGAAAAAAAATCTTATAATTACACCATACATAGTTAAATTATCCTCCATCTTCAATAAAATGCAGGCCGTTTTGATTTTATAGGGCATAGAAGTTGTCGCGGGTGTTAAACGCCCTTCTCACGCTTAGACTAGGACTGAATTACAGTCCAGACCTGTTTTCAAACTGGTTCCAGTTATTACACTTTTTAAGAATAATAATTAAAAAAACATGTTCAAGTCAGTTCTAATCAAATGTCTCTTATGGTCATTTAACGAATGTAACGAACGTCATTGAAAGAGCGACCAAAATTCCCCTGAGGCATTATAGGTCTTTCATGGGACTTTCTTAATCAATGCTAATTTGATGACACCATTGCTTTATTTAGGTGTATTTAGGTTATTATAAATTAAATTTTGTCATTTTGTATTTCTTTTCATCGACTGCTTAATCGACGTCCTTAGTCAATTTCCGTTGTATTTTTGGCTGTATCTTCAACCTGTGTTGACCATGGATAATCTAGATGGACAATGGCTTAAACATTTTATGACGTATTTTGACGTCAATGTTGTTGCCACGGGTTTCAGTAGGTTTTAGCAGACCTTTTAAATTATAGTTTAGAGTTAGTTAATTATTCATTAATAGTTACATTTCTTCTGTGTAATCACGTATAAAAAATCATGAAATAGTCACTTCAGGCCTGAAGTTGGCATTTTTTAAATCTCTATGTAATTTGAAGAAAACACAATCCTCCTGGCATTTTGACAATTAGAAAGCTCTCCAGGAACCTCAAGCTTTACCCTTGCAAATATAGGGATATTTACTGGTACACAGTTGGTCCGTCCACTGTCCTTTTTTGTTTGTCTTCCAGACAAGCCAGGCCTTTTTAGTCTGTTGGAAGATAAATTCATATATTAGGATTTCCACAACGCATGCATAAAGCACGCAAGCGTGTATACTATTGCTTATCACACATTTATTTACCAATTTACAACACAATGGACGTGGATAATGATTATTAATTAATGCTATATAACCATTACATACAGGATAAAAAGCAGTAAAATTTGGTTCTTATGTCTCAATGGAAAACGCTATATCATATTGAATGGATTAAAACTGACGCGAATGGCTAAACTGACAATGATTATATAATGGCTATCTATTAACAGCCACGTTAAAAAAGGCAGAATAATATGATAAATATGCCCCCATGTCTCAATGAAAAATGCAGCTTTCCATGCCACGTCATATTATATTATATTTTCCTTCACATTTTTAATCCTTAAGAAATGAATAATAATAATCTAAATACAATTATTTTCTTTAGTTACGAATAGTCAATAATGGCAGGGCAAAAGCACATACCACGGAGTAGAGACCAGCGCAGTCCGCGCGTTTGATCAGGTTCATAAAACCCTTCCTGTTGGGTTCAAGAGGAGCCCAGTCTCGGAAGGTCAGACGAGATCCATCGGTCCAGGTCCATCGCTTTCCAGTCCCATCAATCTTGAGCCCCATCCAGACTATGGAAGGCATTCCTTTTAAAACACAAGCACCCCATGCATGACTTAGCAACTTGTCCAAATTTACACCCATAAAACTGTGCCAGTCAAATGTTTTTGTGTTTTTTTTTTTTTTTTGACAACCACCTTTGCCAAAAGCCACATTTGCTGAGACCAGTGACTGATTTCTAAAATCAGGTACGCCAACATTACTGTTCCAAAAAAAATGAAAAAAAAGGTAAAAACTAGAGATACTAAAACATACCAGATACTAGATGTAAATACTAAATGTTCTAGTTATATTACTGGTGGAAATGAACTGTATGCCTACCGTTAGGGAGGAACCCTTTGATGAAGTTGCTCTCGGCAGCGCTTGTGATAGACAGAAGATTTGTGCCATACTGTTGGCATCCTTTATTTGCTGAATTCCAGTTGACTTTCCTTGTCATCAACTTGTAGCAGCGCTTTTTGTACTCCCCCCAATCAGACGGACATGCTCCGGCTAAGGAATGGAATAATATAAACTTTAAGTCCGTAATTTTGACATCGAGCATGTGCTGACTTCCAGCGGACTGGCGTTGTCATCAACTTGTAGCAGCGGTTATTGTACTTTCTCCAATTAGAGGGACATGCCCCGGCTAAGAAAGGAAATAATAAATTTATGTCAGATACAGATTCATGCGATTCACTTTTTTTCTGATTTGCAAACATATTCAGGTTCTGAATCAACTAACTCCAGTTGAAGGTTGAAGAGATCCTTTGTCTTCCTACTTGTTACAGACTATTCCATCTAAACCAGCCTGGTAAGTTGACCTAATGGCTTCTTTCGTTGCATTTGGAGGTAAAGTAGGATGCTAAGACATATGTGTTTTTTATTTGTTTGTTCTGTGAGTTCCTTTTGTTTCTGAAAAATCCGAGAAACAACCAATATAAAGTTGGTTTGGCCATAGTGACTGTTCCTACCGTTTTTTTTTCTAAGGAAAATATACGATCAAGATACAGGACATTAAAGAAATTGTCTTTTTAGTTTTTGTACATCTCTGTGATTGCACACATTCCCAGTTCGCATGGATTTGTGAAACGCTCATCCATCTGTGTAAATGAATCTACAATAACATTCACAAGTGCACAACAAAGAGGAATGTTACCTTGCTGACAGTTTGTTCCAGTCCATCCAATGTCACAGTTGCAGCTGTATCCGCCATCTTTGTTCACACAGCGTCCATGTTGACAGGGTTTCGCAATGCACTCATCTATGTCTGAGGAACAAACGGTACTATATTACTAATGCATTTGCCAATACAGTATATAAATAAGTACGTAGCAAATGTGTAATAAAAACTCCGTTTATACCCAAATTGAAAAAGGAGAGAAGGGAAATATTACATAACAGTAATATTTACATGTATCCTTTATATTTGGTAGTATCAACACATATAGGGATAACATTAAAAAATTGAGTATTTGAATTTTATGCCGAACCTTGCTCGCAGTTCTTGCCAGTCCATCCAGGAGCGCAGTTGCAGTTGAATCCGCCATCTTTGTTCACACAGAGTCCGTGTCGGCATGGTTTCATGGCGCACTCATCTATGTCTGTGTGATTAAGAAATCACCCATAAACAAAACTAGCGATTTCAATTTTTGAAACGAAAGATGCATTTAAAATATCTAAAAGTAACGCATTACAATATTTTAACTTAATGGTTACAACACAAGAGAACTCACCTAGGTGACAGCTATGTCCAGTCCATCCAGGGTTGCAGGTACATTTGTATCCGCCGACTTTTTTCACACAGCGGCCATGATGGCATGGTTTTCCGCTGCACTTGTCGATGCCTGTGTGATAGCAATTGCAAGTCCATTAAAGCAAAGGCCAGTGAAAATAATGACATTTTAAACCCCAAATGTCTATTTGTAGGAGAACAATGTATACTTCATTATAATTATTACTGAATTAAATGCACAAAATGGCCTTAAAACTTGACACCTTTAGAGATATTGAAAAAGATATCGCGAGATTTGATTCATACACCAAACGTTAGCTCTTAGTATGAAATTTGATTAGGTGCACTTTTTAATCGTTACGTGTTTGAAAAAAAAAAAGAATCCAAACCGTAGTAATGTAGGTGGTCTTGTCAGAATTATTATAATCAAATATATTTACACTACCTCTCTGGATTCACTATGTTTTCAAGGGTTAAGATTTTCTTGTTGAGTACATTGCATTGATCTGATTCTTTTATGACTAAAAATACCTTTGTCACGAATGAGTTATACACTGCTATAATCTTTATTTGTAAGGAAATTTACAGTAACATTCACAAGCACACAAATACACACACGCACACGTACACACACACAACAGACACAAAAAAACAATAAAAAATCGTCACCTTTTTCTTGTTGACAGTTTCCTCCAGTCCATCCAGGGTCGCAGATGCACCTGTATCTGCCATCTTTGCTTACACAGTGGCCATGTTTACAGGAAAGTCTGGCACATCCATCTATGTCTTTGAAAAAAATTAAGTCGTAAATAAACATCTTGATAATAGCCTAACAGTAATATGTATCATGATACAGTAGTATCAGCACATACATTGTACAGGGATAATTGAAATTTTAGTACTTGAATGCCTAACCTTGCTGGCAGTTCTTTCCAGTCCAGCCAGAGTCGCAGTTGCAGTTGTATCCGCCATCTTTGTTATCACAGCGTCCATGTTGACATGGCTTCCTGGCACACTCATCTATGTCTGTAAATTGAATCACCCATATATATAACTCGTGTTATAAATACTTTTGAGTATGGAAATCTTTGTTACACTATGTTAACTAAAGTGTTAGAGAACCCACCTTGCTGACAGTTCTGTCCAGCCCATCCAGGGTTGCAGGTACATTTGTATCCGCCGGCTTTGTTAACACAGTGTCCATGCTGGCATGGTTTTCGGGTGCACTCGTTGATGTCTGTGTAATACAATTGTAATTCAATTAGAAACAAAATGCGGGTATAAATAATAACATTTATATCCTTTTGGAACAAAACAACCCTAAACCGTAGCAATATCTCCGTAAGCAAAACTGGTTTTGTAAGGAATGTTCGAATCAAATATCTTTACAGCTACCTATATATGGATTCACTATACATTCCATTTTTATGTCTTTGTCATTTTTTTCTGCCACGAATAATTTATACAATGCTAATGTCAATATTTGTAAAGAAATTTAAAAATAATTCACAAGCACACACACACACACACACACGCAAACACACACACACACATACACACACAAAACAAAGACAAACAAACAAAAATTCGTCACCTTGTTGACAGTTTTTGCCAGTCCATCCAGTGTTACAGTTGCAGTTGTATCCGCCATCTTTGCTCACACAGCGTCCATGTTGGCATGGCTTCCTTGCACACTCACCTATGTCTGTGAGATTTAGAAAAAAAATATCACCCATATATAAAACTCGCAATTTTAATTTCCAAGAAAGAGACAATGAAGACATATTTGAAAATTATTTTGAGTATGGAAATCTATGTGATATGATGTTAAGAGAATAGTTACTACAATAGAGGACTCACCTTGCTGACAGTTCTGTCCAGCCCATCCAGGTGAGCAGGTACATTTGTATCCGCCGGCTTTGTTAACACAGTGTCCATGCTGGCATGGTTTTCGGGTGCACTCGTTGATGTCTGTGTAATACAATTGTCATTCAATTAGAAACAAAAGGCGGGTGGAAAAAATTCCTTTTTGGATAACAAAATTCTAAAGCATAGTGATATCTCCGTAAACAAAACTGGTTTTATAAGGAATGCTCGAATGAAATATCTTTACAGCTACCTATATATGGATTCACTATACATACCATTCTTCTGTCTTTGTCATTTTTCTGTCACATATTAGTTGTAATTATACATTGCTTATGTCAATATTTGTAAAGAAATTTAAAAAGAATTGACACAGACACACACGCACGCAAACACACACACACACACACACACACACATATACATACAAAACAAAGACAAACAAACAAACAAAAATTTGTTACCTTGCTGACAGTTTTTGCCAGTCCATCCAGGGTCGCAGTTGCAGTTGTATCCGCCATCTATGCTCACACAGCGTCCATGCTTGCATGGTTCTTTGGTGCACTCATTAAATTCTGTTTTGTAAAAACGTATATATTATTATTGACCTGTTACAATCGGTGCTATAAAAGATTATGTAATTAAATGAACAGATTAAAAAACATACTACTGCTTGAGCATTCTTGCTTAATCCAGATAAAGAACTCACCTTGCTGGCAGTTCTTTCCATTCCATCCAGAGTTGCAGGTACATTCGTATCCGCCATCCTTGTTCACACATGTTCCATGTTTGCATGGTTTGTTGGCGCACTCGCTAAAACCTGTGTTATAGAAAAGTACATAATAAATTAACTCAAATCTGAATTATAAAAAGAGCGTACAATGTTCAACTAAATAAAACAAAATATGAAAGGAAGAAAAAGGAATATGAATGATATGTTTTGTTTGGATATCCTCAGACATCTACCTTGCTGACAGTCCTTTCCAGTCCATCCACGTGTGCAGATACACATGTATCCACCATCTTTGTTTTCACATGTTCCATGCAGGCAAGGATTCATTGTACACGGGTTCGGGTCTTCCCAGGAACAGAAATACAAAAAAAATTAATTGAACAACGTTTGATGTATAACACTATAAATAGTTATTTTTTCAACCACATTTCTATTTAGCTTATGAACGGTTGTGTCTAATCTAGTTCTGTTTGTATTCAAAATGTACATTTTTGGCTCTTGGGTTAATTAAAACATGTGGCAGTGACATAGGCAACTTCAAACTGATACATTTTAAAGGCTTCATTGTGATAAATGGATAGTTTACCTTCAATGCCCTTCTATTGAAAGCAAATGACTTAAAAATTTAGTGTTACTTTGCGTACAGCAAAAATGTACCCTTATTCAAAGTTTTGCAATATACAACAATTTATCGTCATTTACTTTAAGATCGGAAGGGAAATGGAGTGAAATATGTTGGATTTGCTCCCAAAGAAATTTCGGCCATTTAAGTTAGTAAAAATATCTCACCAGTGGTCGACAGAAACGTGACGGTTGTGGTAGGTAAGGCCTCTTCGTTGTCACTGATGTTGGTAAACGGCATCGTTGAGAAAGATGGTGGGGTAGAAAGTTCAACGGATGAGTAGTTTCCCATGTTGGATGACATCAGCCATGGAATAGTCTGCAGATTTAGCTTCGAGATGATCCCCATGTCAGGTTTCGAGTTCAGTTTCACCTAAAATAATTGTCCATTACTGTATTATCATTCGTAAATAATTTCATCAGGTTGGTAAACGAATGAATAGCAAAGTTCTTTGATCACAACCATTTCTTTTTACGAGCCGACGTTTTGATGACCGTCTGTCATCTTCATCAGGGCAATTCTGACCGGTTTGCTGTTGACTGACGCTAAATGTTACTTGGTGCATAGTGCACTAAAGGTGTTACATGGTTCATTATGTATATGTACAATGGTGTATTATCATTTTTGAACCCTGAACAGTTTTCAGGTAGAAAGTATCAATACGTTTGTTTGTAACATTCTGATGTTCTGAGCACTAAAGATTAGAATTATTATGCTACGTTTTATTACCTTC